CCCTTAAACAAAGGAAAAGTACGTCCTTTATGAAGGCATAGAGCCTTTACTACATGAAAATGAAAATTAATGAATACACTGTGTACAGTAATTTACCTGATAAGACAGACCTCAGAAAAATACTTTATGAGGCATAAAGCTGTCTATGATGAAAATTAATTATCTAAGGGTATTTTTGCCCTGCCAAGGTGTGGCCGAGTTATCCGGAGTGCCGGGTTATCGAGTGCCGAGTTTTCGAGGCTCTACTGTACAATCAAATCATAATTAATTAAAAGTCAACGGCCTGGAAGTAGAACATTTAATATTTATAATAGTTCTCAAAGCATCTTTGAACTTTATCATCAGATACAATTAAGTACTAAATAGAAAGATTTTCATAATATGGAAGCAAATTAAGGAAGAAAATGTTGTTATACAAATATCAAAAATTCATAAAAATGGCATTACAACAGAAAAATAAATAAATAAACAACAAGACATATGACAAAAATAAATGTCATTATGTATTTTTACAATACTAATAAAATACCATTTATGTATGTATTAGTTATCAAGCCAAAGTAATTTCAGTTCAATTCATGCCAATTGCTGTGTATATAAAGGTATATTAAAATTTTAAATTTCTTAAATGAATCTGATGATAAAATAACATTTATTTTTACAATACTAATAATAAACCATTTATGTATGTATTAGTTATCAAGCCAAAGTAATTTCAGTTCAATTCATGCCAATTGCTGTGTATATAAAGGTAATGATAATTTTATATAATTAAAATTATTTAAATGTAAACAAAGATTGCAAATGTTTTTTATTTAAAATTTATATGAATTTGTTAAAATGTAATACAGATTTATTATTTTATTAAATAAACAAACATCATTTTATAACAAAATATACCTCCTATTTATTCCTGTACATGTTGAATTAATACTTTATTTTTTAATACAAAAATAATTAGAATCAGCATATAACAATGTAGTTTAGAAACTAAACAATATCCAACCTTTAATTTTAGCACATATATTTTTGACTATCCCATAGGACTGTATTATCTTGTCGAATGGTTAATGCTAAAAGAGAAGTTGAATAGGAATTATTTCTGGAGTGATAATGATTCTTTGACTCTCAGTCTCTCTCTGTTCTTAGCTCTGAACATATTTGTTTTGAAACAGTTTGTCTTTTATCAGAATATATACACCTCTTATCCTCATTGAAGATCATTATTATCCTTATTATTCCCTAGTAATCTAAACAAAATATATTACATTTGAATATGATGCTGAAATTTTTTTTTTTTTTTTTTGTTATTCTTTTGTACATTTTTGCTAGTATGTTGTTAAAAATTATTACTATAAATCATTTGCTTTGTAAAAATTGCAAGAAAGTGTCTTCTTGCATAGGTTTATATGTTGAAATGAGCCTCATGATCATGTGAAAGGGAAAGTCTTGATCAGTGTCAATGGAATTTATTTAGAATTGAATTATGACTATTTACAAAAATTATAAAATTTTCGAGTTTATCTTTCATCCTTTTTCACACAACCACAGAAGTAACAGTATATTGGCTTGAATAAACTTCATTAGAACAAATGGTAAATTATAAAAAAATCTTTACACAAAGTTAAAAGTTTATTAAAATGCCAACCTTTTATTCGAGGATTTGGCATCCTTTAACATTAAAAAACAACGGTTACAATTTCTGACCATAACTAAAGGACACCAAATCATCAAATAAAAGGTCGGTGTTTCGATCAATTTTTAACTTTGTGAGATTTTTTTTATAATTTATCATTTGTTCTAATGAAGTTTATTTCAAGCCAAATATACTGTTACTTCTGTGGTTGTGTGAAAAAAGGATGAAAGATAGACTCGAAAATTTTATAATTTTTGTAAATAGTCATAATTCAATTCTAATTTGAAGATATCCTGGATTGTTATCATATTATAATGTATGCTTTTATGCAATGGAATTTATTCTTTTTAATATTCAAGTAGCTATTATGAAGGAAGATTTCCTGTTAGCTTTTCTGATAAGAACACTGAAGTATGAAAGCATATATGTAATAAGATTCTTGAATATGAATAAAATATAGAGAATTTGAAAATTTTTTTATATACATTTCAGATTTTTAGGTATTATCTTTCATAAAATGAAACAATCGAATTTTCTGCTCCAATTCTGAAATTAAGCCATAGGGGATTGTTGTTGAAATCTAGAAATTCTTAAATGTTGAGTCCAACATTAAATGATTTTGTTTAATGTTTTTTAATGTACACATAATGAATATATTTCTCTATATCTTATCTATATATTTCTTAATATGGTGGTGATATATTTATACATGAAGTGATGAGAAAATTCAAAGCCATCTTCATGCCTGAATATGTTGAGTTTTTTTATCAATACAAGAAGCTTTTTGCAGTTTAAAATTAAAATTTGTATTGCTTTAATTATTTTTTAATTGTAAATTATAATTTTAAGAAGAATTTTAATTATGATTAATTTATCAAGTTATATATAACATTAATTATATTTGTTGGTTTTTTTAACTTTCCTAGGAAAATGGCAATATGAGTTGATGTTAGGTTCAAAAGGAGTTATGCAAGTTGGATGGGCTACAATTCATTGTAAATTTTCACAAGAGGTAAGAGTTGTCAGAGCCATTGAGAAGAGGAAGCTGAGAATTTTTTTCACTTCTGGAAAAAAAGTTTCAGCTTTCCCTCTCAATACCATTTCAGTTTGTGCAGTAAAATTAATATTATTTTTACTAACAAAAATAACATATTTAAGACTGCTTTTCATTAATAAAGAAACATTCTATGCATTTCATTTTTCAAGAATGAAAAAAAATATGGCAAAAGGAGTCCTGCTGGACCCATACAAGCTCTTGATGGCCCTGAGAATTGTTATCACTATCTACTATTTTGAATTTTTTTCAATAATCAGAAAAATTTTTTTCTACTCATTTATTGTTTCTTTCTTATCAATATATTTTATAACTAACGTTTAACTATCTATTGAATATAGTCTGATTTTCTTTATTCATGATCATTTTTCAGGCCAACTGTTCACTGAGGAAACCAAAAACATTTTTATTAGTGGAATATTTGACTATACAAATCATCTTCAGCACAAAAATTGTTACATAATAGAATATGATATAGAATAAGAACACCTTTGAATCCAACATTGAAGGTTTATGTGCAAAACCAGTATAGAAAATTTTGTAATGTGTTTTGTGCTGAAGATGACTTATATGAATCCAATGTTACACTAATAAAAAAGTTTTTGTTAGTCTGAATTATTCTACAGATATGATGATGTTTTTTGGAATATAATAATAATTTTTATCTTCATTATTCTGAAAATTTTTAAAACAATTTTTCAGTATTGAGAATGATAAAGCAAATCTAATTTATATTAACATATTTGTAAGAAATAAAATACTGCTGTCAAAGTTATAATGTTAATGAAATATTAAAGCATTTTACATTAAAATAAGAGTTTGAGATTATTCAAATAAAATGAAATTCCTCAAGAAGTTTTTATAAAATTGTGGAATTTTCTGTGTAAAATTTACTTTTTTTGAATCTTCTGTATTTTCTGCATTTCATGAACATGCAAAATATAGACGATACATCTGTATTTAATGTAGATGTATCTTCTGCATTCTTGGAGAACAGAATTCAGTTAGAATCTTCGGAATTCTGTAACAGACAGACTTTTTTTGTAGTTTCTTTATTTTAATTAAAATTTTTTCTACTGATGGTGTAAAAATTTTTTTTTTTTAAAGTTTATGCAGTGCACTCTTGCCAGTCTGAACTTGCATTAATCCAAACTCCACTTAATCTAAAACAATTTTGTTGTTTTTTTTTTCACAGAATGTTCCAGCTGAAAACAAAAAGTAATTGTAACTTATTTTTAAAAAAAAGACAATTTTTAAAATTATATACTACACATTTTAATATAAATGTCTGTAACAAATTATTTTGACTTCCTGTTCTTTATATACAGGGTGCACACAAATTATTAGTGGATGATTTTTTAATATAATACTTTCACCAATACTGAACAGAAATACATGATTTTACAATCATTTGAAAGAGTAATATTTGCAGTTTTGTACTGACCTTAACTGCATTTAACATTCACCCAATGTGTGGCATGGTAGATGTTCAGGAAATACTTCCATTCTCACCAAATTTTTCAAGCATGTATTGTGTGACATTTCAATGATGGTGTTGATGCACTTTTGCAATTCCAATAATGTCATTGGAAATGGAGAGATATAAATGTTGAGTGAGAATTGAACAAGCTAAGGATAACAAGCAATTATTTATTGTGACATCATCACAATGCTAGGATGTAATTTTTAATCATACTTTTTTAATTTATTTAATTTAAAATATTTGCTCTTCATCTTAAATTAGTAGTATCTTGTCACTGTACATCATGCTTTTCCTGTTAGCATCAGTGTCATGCCATCATCCATCTAACTCCTTACAGGGGAAAATTTTTTAATTGAAATAACATGACCTCTGGTTTGCATCAGAAGTTTGTATACAATTAATTGGGGCCTCCTGCCCTAAGCTTTCCATATCTGTCTTGACTTCCATTTATCTAACTCCGTTCTTGGGATTAAGGAAGATCAGACAGACAACAGTGAGAATTTATAGGTCTACAGTTTTTTCAAATTGCATCCCAACAACCTGATGATGATCTCACCAGAACCATCAGAAGCCAAAATATGTCAACTTTCTGATCTGAGTGTATGTCAACTTACACTTTCTCAGACTTCCTTTGATAGTGACGCCTTAAGACACTTTTCACTTGACTTTTGGTCATCTCTGAGGAATCTGCACTTTTGAATATGATGAATAATGGCTGATTTTGGCCATTCGTCACCCATTCTTCTAGCCGTTAGGATTAGTGCCTTTCCATTCAATCATTGGGCTGCAATTAGAAAAAATTGTAATCTATAAATTTCCACTGTCATCTGTCTGTCTTTCCTTAATCTCAAGAATGGTATTAAATAGATAAAAGTCAGTCAAGACCAGATATGAATAGCTTAGGGGCAGGAGGCCTTGATTAACTATATACAAACTTCAACTTTGGGTAGGAAGTCATGTTATTTTAATTCAAAACTTTTCTCCTGAACAGAGTTAGATACCTGACTGGCATGACTTCAATGTTAACAGGAAAAGTATGATGTACAGGGGCAAGACACTGCTAAACTTAAGTACATTGTGAAGAAAAACCCGGCATTGTGACAATGTCACAATAAATAATTGCTCATTAGGATATGTATTTGGGTTTCATCTGCATTTCTGCTTGGGTGCTATTTAATGTGGGATATATCACTTGGTCATGGAATGGCTATGGAAGTCAAAATGTGTGTTAGATCTTCTCCACATTTTGCATAGTTTTTGATGGACTTATCATTAAGTTTTCGTATTGTATGGTAATTTATTGGGTTCCTCTCATTGAATGCTTTCATCTGGTGAAAGAATTTTATTACTGTGAAATTTTTACCAAGTTACACAACTTGGAACTTCTGAAGACTCACTGCTTTCTCTCAGACCTCTGTCGATGAGTAAGTGGAAGATTTATAAATATTTAGTTTTCTCTCCTTTGCTATTTTAGGCAATTTCTCATATTCTCTTGTCAATCAATTTTACATGTGTTATTGTATGTCTTTTGTCAGGCTGTTATCGAGTCACTGTTGGTCAGTTGTTTGAGTCTTTCTGTTTCTCTCTGGATATAATATATATAATATTTGCCCTGATAGCCTCTCTGTGTTTTGTAATTTCTATTTGGGTATCTTTATTTTATGTTGTGCTCTGGCCACTTGAACTTCTTGTCTAAACAAAGGCCATTGTTCTCTTCCTTCTCAAACTTTCCATCTTACATACTGCTTTTATTTTGGTCTTTCTTTAATGGTTTTTCTATTAGTTATTTAATTTTACCTATTACTTTTTTATTTTGTTATTTTATTACTATTTTCATACCACTTGTGGGGTCCCATTGGTGGACCTGTATTCTGATTGAGCTTCTACTCTCTTTTCTGCACTTTCATTAATGATGGCGCTTGGTCCTTCTGATATTCATGAAGCTGCATAAAGGATTCTGGTTAAGGTCAAGGGCTATCTAGAGGATCTACAGCAAGTCTCACTTAGAATGTGAGCATCCAAGTATATTGTGAATCAGATCCAGTGTGTCATCAACCTAGCTGAGTCTGCTTTCTCTGTTAACAATCTCCTCTCTGTTGTTAATAGCATTGACACCATTGGTATGAAAAAAGACATTAATGAGTTGCTGGCGGTTCTTTCTGAGAAAGCTAAGAGAGCTTTCACAGGTCAAAGCCCATTGAGGACTTTCAGTGTGTCCTCCACTGACTGCCAGGGGGTAGCTCATGTGGGCCTAACCCTAGCCCCAGTGAGGTTGTTTGTAGACCTGCTAGGTCAAATATGGCAGAGTCGACTACTATTACCCCTTATTTCATTGTTCTCATCTTTGGTGATTCAGGAACTGAAGATTCTGAGAACACTAGACATATCTTGACTAGCAGTATTAATTCAGATGCACTGAAGATTGGCATCTAAAGGATATGTAGAATCTAAAAAGGTTGGCTTGCAATTGATCTGGCAAGTAAGAGTGATGTGGACAAACTGCAGAGGGCAGTTGAGGAGGTTCCTATCCCTTGTGCCACTGTTCTTAAAAAGTGCAGTTCTTTTATCAAAGTTATCTCAATTCCTAAAGTCGAGATGACCTATTTGACTTCATGTTTAAACAAAATACCAAAATTTCTAAGTATCTTTCTTGAAGATTTTCTCGATCAAGTGCATGTTTATTTTTCTATTAGTCAAAACTGAAGGACAAACAATCCACTAACAGTGATAGCAAGAAAAAGATTTGGTGATGAGCCTACTGTTGAGTGCTGCATCATAGTTCAAGTGTCTTTCTTCCTGGGTATTGGTAAGCACTTCCCATCCATTTTTTGACTGTCCAACTGCTATATGCATTTTTTTCACCAATGACTTACTTTTATTGTTTTGATTTGTAAAATCCTACAAGTAGTTGTGTATTATCCTGTCTTGATATCAAGTAATATAGTTCTTGCCATATCTGCATTCATCTGCAGTTCTCTTTATTCATATAGAAATGTTATCCATTCTTAAGTTTTGGATATGTATTGATATATACAATATACAGATACTCCTCACTTTACAATAGTTTAACTTAAAATATTTTGACTTTACGATGATTCAATAGAGATGTACAGTACTAGTACATTCAGTAGTCATCAAATTTTAATTTGTTTCTAAGTTAGTCTAATATTTTCTATTGATGTAAAGGCAATGATAGCATCTGTGCAACTTAGAGCTAATCCAGAGTGTTTGAATTTTGAAGGTATGGCTTCAGACTCTGGGTTTAGTAATTATTTTTCTAGATTTGTGAATCATATTATATAATTTAAAAATCAAATTTTCAATATTGGAAACTTTATATGAAACCTATGTTAAAAACATGTGTCAATATCAGTTAAATAAAATATTCACAGTAATTATTTGTTTATATACTTATTTAATGACATTAGTTATTTATTTATCATATCATATTCATATTTGATTTTTGATATTTTCAAATTACAATGGATTTATCAGAAAGTAACCTCGTCATAAGTCAAGGAGAATCTATATATATGTATCTGAAATTTTTCTTTTAATATTTAGAAAGGAGTAGGAGATACTTCAGATTCTTATGCATATGATGGAAATAGAATACGTAAATGGAATGTTTCAGCACAAAAGTATGGTGAAGTATGTAATAAATTTTTTGTTTTTTTTAAATATAATATAAAATATAATAATGAT